CCCCCCCCCCCCCCCCCGGGCCCAGCGACTCCACCCTGGGGCTGCGCGGTCCCGGTCGGGCTAGCACTGCCAGGCCCGCACATTTCGCTGCCTCCGTGACCCCCGCCTCCCCTTCGCCGCTCGTGCCCCAGGGACGCGGACTCCCAGCCCGAGGGCCCCGATCTGCTCCCACCCCTGATCCGCCTGGATGGCGACTCTCTAGTCCGCATCTTCCCTCAACTTTCCCTGCTAGCCCTGGGGGGCACGTGTGAAGGGAAGTCGGGCACCCAGCTGCATCCTGTTTCCGAAACTTCTTGAAAGCCCAGAACACCCCTCCCAAAGGCCTAGACCGACCTGGGCAGAAGAACTCTACAGGTCACCCCCAATGTCTGCCGTGGTGGTGGGGGGTGGGAAATAGGTCTCTCCCTTTTCTCCCAGTTCACCTTGGGAACTACACCCCATCAAATAAATAAATAAATAAAATAAAAGAACTAAAGTCATGCACAAGGATTATGCCTGGAGAATGGCCTCTGGGGAGAGGAAGTGCCTGAGACACCTGAGGATCCAAGAATGTTTCCAAACAAAGAGCCCCAGGGTATTTCCTCCTGGGGATTCTGAAGACTTCGTCTACTACATTAGGGCCGTGGGAAGAAGCTCCACAGATGGGCCTCATGGCCCCAGGGACCTGCCTTATCCCAGCTGAACTTTTAGTGCTCCCATACAGATTGGGGAGCTGCCTCCTGCCTCTGGGAGCCCTCAAATGTTAGGTTGGGTGTTAGATACTAGTCGTGATTGGTGGTTGCAGTTTCTTCAAAGAAGCCTGGGACAGTTTAGGTCTTCCCAGACAACTCCCATTTGGGCCATATCAAGGTCTGCGGCCCTCCAAGCCCTAATTAGGACAGCTCAGACCTCTAATGTTCACTTGACTCACCATCTTACTTGGCTCCCACTTTCCTCAGACCTTGTATTCTTGGTCGTCTGGTTGCCTGGCACCCAGGCTTCCTGATTTCTTAAAGCAATGTGATTAGCATCTGCTACTCATCAGCTTCTTAGTTTCTGTTGAAGAAGAGTCTGGCTCTTTCCTGGGGTTTGTCTCCATGACTCTAGAGCTAGGAATTGGGCTGTGGAATGGCCTGCCTGGGGACTCTGAAAGTGGAACTTACGGTGGGCAGGAAAATACACGCCCCCACCCCCCACACCTGAATACCAGCAACTGGAGGAACAGAGATGGGCATGGACATTGGGTTTAAGTCTGGGCCTTTTGGCCAACGTTAAAGGCTCTTTGTTTCTCTGCTCTCACTTGTTTTTCCAGCATAGACCCCCAGCCCTGAGCACAGACTCCACACCAGTGTGCCTTACTCTTTCTCATTTTGGAGCCATTGCATAGTCTGTTCCCCTCTTTGCTCCATTTCCATCTGGTCCTTTCCCATTCATCATTCATGTCCTGGCTAGATGTTGCCTTTCCCAGGAATCCTTCCCTGACTCATTGTCAAGCTAAGCTGGGTATCATCATGTACTCCCAAGAACCTTAATTGTGGCTCTGTCTTGCCTTCCAGACTGGGCTTCTGGAGGACAGAGATATTTGCCTCTGTTCCTAGGGCTGAGTCTAATGCTAGATTTCTGGACTTGGAAAATATAGAATTGAATTAAAATGGTCCAGGCTCAAATCTTCCCGGGGAGCCAGTAGCAGGTTGGATGGCTCTGAGGTGTTTATGAGCATGTATCCTGAAGAAGCTATTTGACCCATACTTCACCCCTACTTGGTAGAGGGTCAGGAAACCAGGATTTCACCCCAGGGAGTGACTCTGGCCAGTCCCCTCAGTGTCACGATGTCAGTGGGGGCACTAATACTGACCTGTTTATCTGCTCGGCCCCCTATCTCAGTGCCTTTTTAAAAAATTTATCTGATCAATGCCATTCTTATTGACTCTTTTCCTCTTGCCTTGGAGGTGCTGAGCACTGGTTTGCGGATACCCAGGCAGATCTGCAGTGCCTAATGCAATGAGCGTGGTGGTGCAGCATGTGGAAGAGAAAGCTGTGCACTCCTGGTCGCGCATCTCCACTGCAGGGAAGAAGGCCCTGGAAGAGGCGCTGCTTGTCTTTAACCCCATGAGCCAGGATCTCAATGCCACGGAAGCGCAGCTTGTGGCCTTCCTGCAGGGACTGCGAGATGATGGCTTCCAACCTACTATCCTGCGTAGTGGTGATGTCTATGGCTATAGTTCATGTACAGCCAACCCCCCAAGCCAGACAAAGCTGCAGGCTCGTGCCCCCAACCCAGTCGCCACATCACCTCCAGCCAATGCTCCCCGAACTGCCATGCGGCTACCCGCAGGCCGGGCCACACTGCTCCCCATGCCTCTGTCCAGCAGGCTGGCCAAAGCGTCCACACCAGCTCTTGCCAAGCATGCCACAACCAACCTGCTGCTGAGCTCCCTGAAGCAGTCAAGTGCCAGCCGCGCCCAGGGTGCATCAGTGGGCTTCCCCACTCACCTCTATCCAGGTGTCTACCCTGCCATGCGGCTCTCTGTTGTCCTTGAGGCCCTGGTTCCACTCAAGACTCCTATGCACTCTTTGGCTGCCAAGCACAAGGCACAGTCACTGCAGCTCTCACTTGTGGACCCTCCTCTGAAACTGCGGAAAGCTTCAGGTAA